CTCATAAAACAAACAAAAACCAAAACACACATACACACAAAACCCTCTAAGGCTTTAAAGCCTTCTAGCAAAGTGTGTACTTTACATACTAATAATTTACAATCATTAAGTGGCTTAGTAAACATTTTTCTTTTCATCTTGTTTATAAAATAATTCATTAATGAGGTTAATATGAAATATCACTAATTTATAAAAAAAGAAACATCACCAATTTAACTTTTCATTATAATTTGAGAATATAAATTTTTAGATATTTTTGGTAAGGAAAAACAAAAGGCTTCTTTTTCATACATGAAATACTTTTAAAACAATATACTTGAAGAAAAAAAAAAAAGAAAGAGAAAGAAAGAGTTACCACCAAACTACAGGCCTTGAAGAAATACAGTGGGTTTCAGCTGCTTAAGAGAAACTACTGGTATTTCTATTTGTGTATTGGTTTCTAATGTATATAATAGCAATTTTAATGCCTATAATTACAACAGTCTTCTGGCTTATTCAATGATACTGGCTTACTATTAGCACAAACTGTTCATTTTTTTCCTTGACAACTGTGTCTTCTACAGCACTGTCCATTTTTTCAGTTTTACATTCTGCCATTTTAGCTTCCCTAAAAGACTTCTTTTGGGAAGAAACTATGACTTCGATGGCAGAGAGTACAATATAAATGGGCATAACTATTTCAGAGTGCTTTCTGAAGGTTTTTGCTAAATTCCAAAGTAGAGTTACTCAATCAAAACAATTTCAGGGACCAGCAGGTGGTGTGGTGTTTAAGGTGGCTGGGCTCCCACAAAGCTGACCATGGTTCAAGTCCCGGACTTGGCAGTTCACTTTTCTACAATGAATAAAAGTAAATAATTCTTTTTTTGCGGGGGAGTTTTTCGCTATAGGGCGTGTGCGCTCGCCAGACAGAGAGAGACATAGAGACAGAAAGCGAGAAATCACCGCCCAGGGGGGATGGTCATGCCGCAATCCCTTCTCCTCCATTCTCCTCTCGGGATCTTGGGCACGCACGCACACGCGCCCGGCATGAGTTTTAAGCCACCGGGTCTGGGACGCGAACCACGGTCGACTACGTGGGAGTGCAGCGACATAGCCATTACGCTAACTGCTGGTTCCCAATAATTCTTTAAAAGAAATAAAAACCAACAATTTCAAGGCTGAATCAACTATTAATATTTACAATTATTCGCTATGAATCTCTAAAGGAAATACTCTTAAAATGTAGTGATAATGTCACCAACCTAGATAACATTTATCATGAAGGTTTTGACATTTATCTCTCTTTCCACATTTCGAAAATAATACTTCTCTTTAAAGGTGGTATACCTTGAAATACTTTTTCCCCTGCATTTTACTTTGAAAATCATTCCCCAAATCAGAGATTCTACGGATTAACAGATATGTGGTAAATCGAGTATAGGAAAGTGTTAATAGTAGAACTAAGGTGGGAAGTAGGCAGATGTTCAACTTTTCCAACTTTGCTGAACATTTGAACATTTTTATAACAAAATACAGAAAAAAAACCTCACCAAACATAAATACTAAGCAATGAAAACAATGAAAAATAGTAATCGGTATGTCTTGTTACTTTGTTTTTTATGCTATTGCTGAAGATAGCCATGTAATATATCATACAGTTCAAAGATTGCAAAATACAATTTCTTAAAATTTAAAGCATACATGTATAAAATCTTTAAAATTTTACTGGGAATTAAATCTTTACGATGTGTTGATTTATCAAATCAAAGCAGACACGGTTCACAGAACTGGTACTTCTCTAGGAAGATCACCAAAAAAAGATCTTTTTTTCTCGGTAAAGTAAATGTGCTAAAATTATAGATATGAATTGAAAAATTTGAGCATTATTGTAAGACTAATATGGAGAAGGTCTAACCGGATAAAATGGTTTCTGTAATATAACAAAAAGATTAAAATGAAGTTAGAAAATAAAACATATCTCATGAAAACATCCAATTTAATGATAAATACAGAAAAAAAGTAATTTTCTAAGTGAAAATAAATTTTATCCTTTCTCAAGCCATCCATCAGGAAAAAAACACAACTAAGTGAATTCAGAAGTCAAGCTTCTAAAATACCAGAAAGAATAAAAGCTTTTCCACATAATAACCTATCTCTATTCTTAGTAGAAAGTGTTAAAATTGCTTACCTAGGATGGCATAAAAAAATAAAGATATGACACTCATATCTGTAGTCTCTCAGTTTTCAAACAGAAATAAAAATAAGTATTTACATACCTAATATTATTTTTAAGAACTTTCAAGCAACTGAAGCACTTAAAGGTTGTATAAGTCTTCTGTTCCTCTTCAACGGCACCTTCATGTCTTCCATAATAAAAGTCACTAACTAACATGATCAATTTTCCTGTCTCTGAACCAATCTTATTTTTGTTTTCAGCATATAAAAATTCAGCTTTAATAATTCTCAAAAGGTTATTTACCATGTCTGGACAACAACGCTGAAAGAGGAAAAAAAAAGCCTTATTTAAATTTCATTTAAAAATTAGATACCAAAAATGATTGTGTTTACAATTAGGGCTAGACCATATAAAATTATGTTTGGCAATATTAACTGGAAAGTTTCACTAAAATGTTCATGTCTTTCCTTAAAAATTCTAAAATATCCAAATAATAAACATACTATCTTAATAGAAAATAACTTTGAAAACAGATCGAAAGCCTTGAGATTGAATATGTCTATACTCTGATCTTACTAAGATATGTATGTAATACTTCCCTCTTTACAACTTTTCGGATGTAAGTATTTAATAGTAATTTGTTTCTTGGCTAAACATAATTTCAAACTGTGTCAAGATATATAGCTTAAAAGGGAAGGTGTTTTATTTTTAAATTTTCTAGAGGTTGCATGTACTTGCTAGAGAGAAAAGAAAGTGATAAAGCACCCCACCATGGAGGACATTTCACAAACCCTTCTCCATTTCTCCATTCAAGATTTTAGCCACACATATGCACATGCCTGGAATGTATTTCAACTCACTGGGTCTAGGCCTTAAACTGTGCCATTGGCCATGTAGGATCCCGCTGTCTTATGTACAACTTTATGGTTGTTGTTCATATCTCAATAAAGCATTTTTAAAGACAATATACTAAGTTAGAGTTTGAGAAAAATTCCTAAAAATCCAAAGTACATACAAAGCAACCACAAAGCAAAAGACCCTTAAAAAAAGGAAAAAGATAAAGCTTAACAAAAAATTTTGACAGAGCCACAGTAAAACCTATCAGACCAATGAAATCTCTGTCAGTGAATATAAATAGATTTAACTCAATTCCTAAAGGAAAAGACTTTTTTTTAAAGAGGTTTCTTTTCTTTTTCTTTTCTTTTCTTTTCTTTTTTTTTTTTTTTGGCTATAGGGTGTGTGTGCTCAACAAACAGAAGGACAGAGAGAGAGAGAGACAGAAAATGAGAAATCACCCCGTGGGGGGATAGCCACACTGCAATCGCTTCTCCTTCATTCTCCTCTCAGGATCTTGGGCACACACGCACACGCGCTCAGCATGAGTTTAAGTCACTAGGTCCAGGACTCGAACTGCTGTCAACTACAGGGGAGTCCAGTGATGTAGCCATTATGCCATCTGCTGGTCCCAGAAAAGATATTTTTTAAATGTACGATCATGAAAGAAAATACAACTCTGCTGAAAGTAAGACAACAAGGTGATGTGGAAGGGTTGAAAATAAGTAAAAAAAAAATATAATGGCAAAATTGGGAACAGTGAGAAAATAAGGGTTGTGGACCTCATACCAAACAAAATAGATTTCAGGCTACAAAGCATTAAATATTAAGACAAAAAAAGGATGTGTCAATGCTAAAGGGTATATTCATAATGAAGTTAAGAGAGAGAGGCATATCTATATTCTAAAGAGAAACTCCATGAAATAGAATTAGAAGAGAGTCACGAAAATAGTGACAATATTAGATTTGGATTTACCTTTCTCTACCATACTCAAGGAGGTAGATATAGGGATAGATCCAACATATTGGGTTATTGGGAAAGTCATAATAATGCACTTTTGCATAGAAAAATACATCATGACCTAATAGTTGTGTCCAAGAATGAAGAGATTTGTTATTTAGAATTTTGGAACACTCTCCCCCCACCCAACTTTTTGTAAAATGCTGAACTTCAACAAAAATTTGTCAATCTTTAAAACAGTGAGCAACACCCTTTTCCTAAATTGTTTCTTTGCTTTGCACTCTTTTCATTCCTTCTTTCCTATATATAATCTATACTGCCTCTTTCCCCTTTCCTGCCATTTACACTGGATATATAAGAATCTTCACATAAGCATAATAGAATATTGAAATACCTACAAAAATGTTTTAAGTGGAATGTTACCCAAACCCCATACCCTCAGTAATACTTTAAAATTTTAGTTTAAAAAACTTAATTCTGAGGCCAGCAGATGGCACAGTGGTTACATTGCTAGATTCCCACATGTACAACTGTGGTTCAAGTCCATGAAGTAGCTTGAAACTCACACTGGGCGCATGTGCCTGAGTGCCCCCAAGATCCCAGAAAAATTATGGAGAAGGGATTGCAGCGTGGTCATCCTCCCCGGGAGGGTGATTTCTCACTTTCCCTCTCTGTCTCTCCCTCTGTCTCCTTTAAGTGCATGAACCCTATGGCAAAAACCTCTATAAAAAAATTTTGGGGACCAGTAGTTGGCATAATGGCTATGTCACTGGCCTCCCATGTAGTCGACCGCGGTTCTAGTCCTGGACCCAGTGGCTTAAACTCACACTGGGCGTGTGTGCATGTGTGCCCAAGATCCTGAGAGGAGAATGGAGGAGAAAGGATTGTGGCATGGCCATCCCCCCGGGGGCTGATTTCTCCCTTTCTGTCTGTCTTCTGGTGAGCACATGCACTCTATAGAAAACTTCCTACACCAATATAAAGCTGGAATTCATTTATAAGTATGTAAACTATATTCTGGATTGAGCTACATATTATTTATTTCATATGAAATGCTCCATCATTAGGAGTTTGTTTCTGAGTGTTAAAAAAATAAAAAGTAGGGGCCAGCAGGTGGCATGGAGGTTAAGGTGACTACCCACATAGCTGACTGTATAATTAGAGTCCCAGACCCAATGGCTCAAGCCAGGTGCATGTGTGTAAACAAAATCCTGAGAGGAGAATGGAAAACAAGTGACTGCAGCATGGCCACCCTCCCCCGGAGGGTGATTTCTCTACCTTTCTCTTTCCCCAGCCAAGTGCCTACACTCTGTAGCAAAAAAAAAAAAAAAAAAAGAAAAAAAAAAAAAAAGAAAGAAAGTAAATGACAATGAAAATGAAAATGTAGAGGCCAGACCTAGGGGTTAGGGTAGCTGGATCACCCTGGACAACAAGTTCAAATACCAGCCCGACCATCTTAAAAAACATGATGATGGGTGTGTGTACACGCATGTTCCAAATCCCAACAGGATGAATAAATGGAGAAGAGGTTATAACGTTATCATTGCCCCATTGGGGGAGGGTGCTATCTCCTTGTTTCTCTGTCTTTCTCTATTGAGTGCGGGTGCCCTCAGGGAATTAAAAATATTTAAAAAGCAAACTAAGATTTTGAATGAATAGTGTGACAAGCATATGTCACCACAGACAAAAAAATAAGGTAAACAAATGGAATTTTTAAATGATAGGAAAGACTAAGTACCTCATAAAAGGCCTGCTTTACAAGAAGTTTGAAGAATAGCATGAGTTCATCAAATACTATATTATTTTCATTTAAAGTTAAAATGCAATATATGAACACAATGAAATGCACATAAACTTTTTTAAAATTTCATGATTGGCTAGGATTTTAAAATCTTACATAATCATGCTGAATATCAATTTTTTTTTTTTTAGATTTTTGCCACAGGGTGCATGCACTTGCTAGAGAGCTAGAGACAGAGGGTAAGTGAAAAATCATCCCTCGGGGGGATGTCCACATTGCAATTCCTCCTCTAATTCCATTCTCCTCTTGGGATTTAGGGAACGCATGCACACATGCCTGGAGTGATTTTTCAAGCCACTGGGTCTAACTCAAACTGCAGTCAGCCATTTGGAAGTCCAGTACCTTAAACACCACACCATCTGTTGGCCCCCTGAATATTAAATTTTACTTAAGTTATATGAAAATACCAGTAAGAAAAACTTTCTTATCTAAACATCTGGACAAATCTGCATTTACTTTAT